TAGCACTTCTAAACTTATAGTGCCCAGAGCCTCAGGGACAGGAAGCTAAAATTTCCCAACTGTATCTTCGATCCTGGACTGATGTATGCTACCTAATGGGGCACAGAGTATCAAATAATGATTATTTATTGTGTGTATTTGTATGTATATGTCTCAAAATAATAAACTCCAAGTTGATACCGCAGCTGCAAATGCAGTAAGCCATCCCATTGCTCTATCAGATCAGTGGATTCTGGGTGGTGCAGTATATCCAGTAGATCCAATGGTCATGTGCCAACCCTCGTATCTCCTTTACTTTAATGTGAATCCATGGTATGATGTAATGTTTTTGGCAACTCATGTCTGCATTTTAATTACTCTGTAATCCTTAGGAAATCATCGATCCAGAACCATAAAGATTTGTTGTGATTACCAAATTGGTGATACTTGCTATAAACTTCACATCTTTTCTCTTATCAGTACCAGTTTTTCTAATACCATGTATGCCAGGTAGTATAGTCCAAGTAGAAGGGCTCTAAGCACACAATCTGGAACTGCTGCAAAAACCATTTTCCAGATCTTTACCCCTTTCAAAAGTGACAGAATTTCGTATCTTCCAGTATATGGGTTAAGGTGGTATAACTGATACAGAATATGTTTCCTCCAGAAACAGGAGTAATCTACCAAGCATTGTGCTTCCTTATTGGTGACAGAAGTTGCAAGATGTGATACTTTTTCTTTCACTTTGAAGAGGATATTCTGATGTTCTGCAGACCACTGAACTCCTAAAACTTTTTTCCAACTTGACTGAAGAATAATTGACAAGCAGAATTATATACATTTAAAATATACAATGCAATGATTTAAGATACATATACGATGTGGAATTATGACCAAGATAAAGAAAGTTAACACATCCACACTCTTGCATAGTTAAATTGTGTATGTGTATTTGTGTGTGGTGAGAATCTATTCTCAGTAACTTTCAAGTAAACAATACCATATTATTAACTATAGTCACCACCCTGTACATTAGCTCCTCTGAACTTTTTCTTCTTATGACTGAAAGTTTGTACCCTTTGACCCATATCTTCCAATTTTTCCCTCCTCCCAGCTCCTGGAACCACCATTCAATTCTCTGTTTCTATGAAATTGGCTTTTCTTCCTCCCAAAGATTCCACATATAAGTGATACCATACAGCATTTTTGTCTGGCTTATTTCACTTAGCGTAATTCTCTCTAGACTCATTCTGTTGTCACAAATGGCATTATTTCCTTTTTTATGGCTGAATAACATTCCATTGTGTTTATATACATAATGTGAACTTGGATCCATAATAATATTCCATTGTGTATATATATACACCACATTTTCTTTACCATTCATCCATTGAAAGGCATTTATGTTGTTTGCATACCTTAGCTACTGTGACTAAGGCTGCAGTGAAGATGGGTGTGCAAATATCTCTCCAAGCTACTGATTTCATTTCCTTTCAATATACAGCCAGAAGTAGAATTGCTGGATTATATGGTAGATCTGTTTTTAATTTTGGGGGAACTCCATCCTGTTCTCTGTAAAATTTTATGCAGTTTATGGTAAATTAGTGGCTGCACCAAATTACATTCCCTGTAACAGTACACAAAGGTTCCCTTTTTTCATATCCATATCCATTTATCTCTTGTCTTTATGACAATAGCCATTCCAACACTCACTGTGGTTTTGATTTTCATTTCCATGATGATTAACAATGTTGAGCACATTTTTATATGTCAGTTGACCACTTGTTTGTCTTCTTTGGAAAAATGTCTATCCAGGTCCTTTGCCCACTTTTAATTGGATTTTTTTCACTACTGAGTTGTAAGAGTCCCTCATATATTTGGGATATTAACCCTTTAACAGATATATGGTTTGCAAATATTTTCTTCCATCCTGTAAGTTGCTTTCTAATTTATTGATTGTTTTCTTCGCTATATAGAAGCTCTTGTAGTTTGATATACTCCCACTTGCTTATTTTAACTTTTATTGCCTGTGCATTTGGTGTCTTATCCAAGAAATCATGGCCAAGACCAATGTCAAGAAGTTTTTGCTGTATGTTTTATTCTAGGAATTTTACAGTTTCAGGTCTTGCATTTAAGTCCTTGATCCATTTTGTCACCTCCTAAAATTTTAATGATGTGGCAATTTCCTCATTCTTCATAGAATTTATTCCCTCCTTTGAAAACACATGTGTATTACTAAAGCATCCAATGCACCTGCCATTTCTTTCTTAAATGGTTTGATAACATGATGTCATTTAATATAATAAACAAGTATAAAGATCCATAAAATGTTCAGATGGTCCAAATCTCTTCAGACTATATATGACAAAGGGTAAAACTGCAAATATGTACTACTTTTCATTCTATGTAAATGCTAACTACTTCCAATTCTCCTTTCTAAAAGAGACGAGGAAGAAAATTTCCTAGATCAATGATTATATCACACCCGAGGCTGTGTTAATCTAATCTGCTGCAGCAAAGATATTGTCTTCAGTACAGCAGCTGAAATAAAGGTTATATTGGGGTGAGTTTACAATAGTCCATTGTCATTCTCCAGGATCTGTCTGGCTTTTGCAGGGGCCACAGTGGTAAACTAAATTGAGAAACAATAGAGACCACCATTCCTGTATACAATGGGTATCTTTTTGCCATCACTATCCCTACAGAACATAATATACTTTTTGAAATACTGTCCTGGCCTGTGGATGAGACAGTTTCAGCATCTTCCCCTCTACAACAGCTGTAACCCACGGGGCAAGGAAGCAGTGAGGGAGTTGTACCAATTAGCAACTATATCCATTTAGGTTATACATCCAGGAAATGGTGTAATCATCACTGGAGGTTGTCACTTTGTGGACACTAGATCTCAACCAGGACTCCATGTTTACCTACTCCCACATGCCTCCATTCAAACAAAAGGGTCACAATAACCCTTCAGGAATCCAGATGCAAATGTCAAAAACTGTGTCCAACAGTCCTCAAAATGTTGTGATACTCCTTTTTTTCCTGGTGTAAGATTACGTAAGTAAATGGTCACTGGCACCTTTGGGAAAAGTACTGGGAGAATCATTGTGATGTATACTTACTGAGCTGTTGCACAGTCCTTCCTCCTGGCAGCTCTATAAAAGCAGCCTTGGTGATGCCATGTCCCTCAGCCCCTACCTGAAGGAGAGGGTTAGGGGTTGACTTAGTATGTTACACATAATAGATCCATTCAAATATCTTCTTGAGCCTTTAGACTCCATCCTCTACAGTATATTAGGGAAATCTTGGCATTTCAACTTCTTTGATAGCAGTAAGTGCCTAGAAATGATGGCTAGTTGGTTTTAAATACACAATAAATATTTGCAAATTTATTAACTCCATAAATACAGGGCTTTGAGGGTGATGGAGTAACCAGAGGAAGGCCCACAAATAGGGATTATTTTCAAGTAAAGGTGTTATTCTGATAACTTTTATTACCAGAGATGCACTATAGTACAGGAGTCAAGGCGACAGATCCTGGATCAAAACTGCAAGACTTTATGTTCAGGCTTATTGCTTAATAGATATTAAATGTTTAAGATATTTATGCCTCAGACCTTTCCTCTGTGAAATGAGATAATGAGAGTATCCACATCATAAGATTTATGAATAAAACCTAAATTGTAAAAAGCACTATGTGAATCACATCAATTATTACCTCCTCTAGGACACAAATGATGACAATCAACTCCATTGCTTCATGAAAGAAATTTCAATTAATAGGTTCCTTTCTATTCTTTAGTAACCATATAAAACAACAGGCAGCATAAGTTCTTGAAAAAAGAGGAACTTCACACAGATTTTATAAATATTTCATTTTCTATTTGCTGATTTGCTGAAGTATTTTAAATTCATCTTTCTGGGAGAGACACAATGATCTTAGTGTGATTTACTCAAGCAGAGTACACAGTTCACCAATCACATTTATTTCCCACAAAGAGAGAATATCATTAACTGTTAAGCATTTGTGGGACTTCAAGCCTACAAAATAGAATTTAATCAAAGAGCTCTCTGAATACCACTGTAGACAAAAGAATATTATTTAATAATGAATTTTAAATTTTTTTTCATAATTAAAGCTATGATTTAAAATTTGGCTTTGGTAGGATCTGAAAAGGGAAATATAAAGATAGTGGTAGAAATTGGGAAAAGGTTTGCAAATGATAAAGAAGTATTAAATGCTAATGACAATTTGCTCAGAAGAAGAAATACAAATGAGAGATGTAAAGCTTTCCCTTCAAACAGAACTACAGGAGAGGGCTGAAAGAGTGGAATATGAGCAGAATATGGGTCAAATACAAAAAGCTGATTTGAAAGTGAAAGGGCCACGGCCTGGCAACCAGAGGCATGGTTCCTGGTACCTGGGAATCTCTGGTGGTTTCTGGCTGTGTGCTTTTTGGCAAATGGCAGTCACCTCTCAATTCCTGAGGTTTAGCATGTGCAACTAAGGGGGTAAGAACTAGCGGTGTTGGTAATCTATCCTAGCTTTAAATTCTAAAATTCCAAAATAGGATTAACAATTTCCCAGACTGCCAGATAGAAATGCTTGATAAGGAGGTAAAATATGTAGAAACTGGAGAAATGAGAATCAAATACAGTAGGAACAAAGGGAATTAGAATCAAGGTAGATGAAACAAAGTTAAGAATGCCTAGTTTGTCTGTCAATAGAATAATTATTCCAATAAAGGAAAAAGACAAAATACTATTATTTGCTCAATTACATGGCACTCTCGTAGACCATGTAGGTTTCAAGGGACACATGATTTGGTTTTCAACACTTTGATGTACAGAGTGTCAAGGAATGACATCACTTTAAATTTAATGGTGAAATAGGTACCACAATTTAATAAATAGCATATTTCTAGATATATAACATGGCCTGAGTCTTTAGTATTTCTTTGAAATTGCATAATGTCTTTTCTGCAACCAGCGTGAAGGAGAATCTATAGTTTCATATCTTCATAGCCACTCACTTAGGAAATATTCCTGTAATGAACAAGACGGCTGCACAATCTCCTCATTGCCACTTTCATCTCTTTGTTCCTGAATGTATAAATCACTGGATTCAAAAAAGGAGTGATAAATGCATCAAAAATAGCAAGAAATTTATCCAGGTGTGATGTGGGAGAAGGCCATGTGTAGAAAAACATCAGTGGCCCAAAGAACAAAACCACCACAGTGATATGAGCTGACAAAGTGGAAAGGGCCTTGGATGAAGCACCAGAAGCATGTTTCCAAACAGTGAATAGAATGAAGATGTAGGATATGACCAGCAAGACAAAGGAGCCCACAGAAATGAGCCCACTATTGACAGTTACCATGAACTCCAGTTCTTGGGTGTTTGTGCAGGCAAGTCTGAGGAGTCGTGGAAGGTCACAGTAAAAACTATCTAATATATTAGGGCCACAAAAAGGCAAATCTATTACAAAAACTAATTGAACCAATGAATGGATAAGGCCAATGATCCAGGAAGTGACTGAAAAACATAGACACATTCTGGGACTCATGATGGTCAGGTAGTGGAGAGGCTTGCATATAGCCACATATCTGTCAAAGGCCATAGCAATGAGCAGCACCATCTCAGTGCCCCCAACAGCATGGCTAAAGAAGATCTGGGTAATACATCCACAAAAGGAGATGGCTTTGTGCTTCTTAAAAATATCACAAATCATTTTAGGGGCTGTGACTGAGCAAAACACCATATCAATGACTGAGAGGTTAGCCAGGAGGAAATACATGGGCGAGTGCAGATGAGAATCAAAGGTTACAGTGAACACAATGACAAGGTTTCCCATCATGCTTGCAGAGTAGAACAAAAAGGAGAAGACAAAAAGGAGGAGCTGGATATCCCATGAATTGGTGAATCCCAGGAATACAAACTCTGATACTATGGAGTGATTTGTTAGATCCATTGCCTTAAGACACCACCAGGGTCAGTTTTCATGTTACCTAAAGGAAGAAAGAAGATGAACAGACATTGTCTAGGCAGGTATTAGTGTTCAAGAAAGCAAGCCTCTAGTCCATGAAAGTAATTATCACATGAACACCTCAAAAAACCAAATAATCTTCACTAAATGCACATCTGACTTCTGCTTAGAGGAGTCATTTGATTCCCATGTGACATTATCGTTTTCAAAGCTACTATTACTAAATTATTCTTCCTCTGGACCTCTTTCCTTTTATGTACTATTTCCTGCTGTCCAGCAGCATATAAGAGCATCTTCAAACACTTTTGACTACAATTTCAGCCATTCACATGAGCCACCTAACTATCCCTCATGCACAGCATACAGCTTTCTAAGTCTCTGTTCTGTTACTCATGTTGCTCATAGAACAACTTCTAGAGCAATAGGAACCTTTAAAACTTCTTTCTTTCTTTCACTTTCAAAATGTCTCTCATTCTATTCTTCAAGTCACAAAATCCTTCTCAACATCCCAGCTCAAATGCTCCCTCACTTGTGAAATCTTCCGAATCTGCCCAAGTCTCTATACCCGCTCTGCACTATTAGCATTTACTTCACTCTGCTCCTCACGATTATGTAAGTTTCCATCTTTTTAATTAAAACACATCTCTTGAGTACAAGAATCATGTCTGGTTCATCTGAGGAGCCCCCACTTCCATCACAATCACCAGGAATGACCAACGCAGCCAGGTATTTAATGAGTGTTTCACACTTGTTGAATCAAGGAAGCACATCATAGTTCAGTAAGGTTCATGTTAGTAGTTGGATCTGGAATTATCTGAATCTGGATTTATCGGATCTGGAATTATCACAGGATCCCAGGCCTTGTTCCTGCAGCTGTTTAACTACACAGAGTAATATTTGCACCAGAAAATTTTATCATCAGAAGAAATATGGGATATCAGTTATTTATTTAAAACAGTCAATAAAAGGGCCTTTGATATGTTTCAAAAAGGAAAAAAATCATTTTATTTTGTAAATGATGTTCACTCATTGGATCCCCAAAGATAAGAACTCTGCCAAATAAGGACAGTCACTTGTCTTTTTCAAAATAAATTTCGAATAGTTAAAGAGTGACAGAAACTAAAATACATGGTGAAAAGAGCCAGACAGTGCCTGTGTCTGTGATTGAGAGAGGAGGATGACTGAGTTATAAAGTACAGAAAAAGCACTGAAGAATATAGGCCAGATTCCAGCATGGGGAGGTAAAGACAAAATTACAATCCTTCAGGAATAAAGAATAGCCATAGACAAACCATCAGAGGTCCACGGCTCATGGGATGTTCCTGATTTAGTACAACATCCATGTCTCACCAGCTAAACAATGTCTGTAGAATGAGATATAGGAAGTATATCTGCTTATTATCATGAAGGTAATTGGTGGGAGAGTTTACACTACAATCAAGAACCCCTGTCTCCTGTTGAAAATTCTTTGCATTTTAATAGTCTTCGTATTAGTTTCCTAATTCTGCTGTAACAAATTACTTGGAAATTAGTGTTTGAGAGAAAAACAAATATATTATCTCACAGTTCTGGAGATTTGAAAGCCGAAATAGGTCTTCCAAGCTAAAATCAAGTTGTCAGCAGAGGTGCATTCCACCTGGAAGATCTAGGAGAGAATCTACTTCCTGGCTTTTCCAAGGTTACCTGCATTTTTTGGTTCATGACTCCCTCCTTTCTCTTCAAAGTACATCACTCCAAACTCTCCCTCTGTCATCCCATCTCCTCTCTGATTCTGACACTCCTGCCTTCCTCTTATAAAGACTCTTGTGATTACATTGGGCTGACCCAGATAATCCAGGATAATTTTATCATCTCAAAATTCTTAATTACACCTGGAAAATCCCTTTTACCACGTAAGGTAGCATATTCACAGGGCCAGAGATTAACACATGGACATCTTTGGGGACCATTATTCTGTATACCACAACTTTCTTACATATGAACAAATAACTTAGGAGTAAAAGGAAAATCTTAAAATTAAGCAATAAATCTGACAGAAGGCATTTCAGAAAGCCTGTCATAAAGATAGAAGCTATTGAAGGAGGAAGGACAAATAGCACAACCTGACATTTTCCCTGAAGCCTTGCATGACATTTTCCCTTAAGCTTCGCATAAGTGACTTCTGATTCCAACTACATCCAGCACCAAGTCTGATCAACTAATGTCCACAATGATAGGGTACTTAAAATAATCAGCCAACCAAAATGTTCTTGGACGAGTAGGTATATAATTGACTCCTGAGTTATTCTCTGAATGATTTTTGTTCATTAATTCAATAAGTATTTTTGAGTGCTCAGAATACCAGGCACCACTCCAGGCTTTGGGGATGTAGCATTGACAAGAATTCCTGCCTTTGAAGAGTCCATATTCATGACAAAAAATGTAATTTTGATCTGTTACATACAGCTCTTCCTTCTCTAGAAAGGATAAGAACAATTGAAAAAGTGCTATAATTCATCAAATACCTGGGGATTCTCAAACATTCTGCTTGCTTTTAACTCAGTTCCATCTTCAGAAGGTCTCTTCTCAGTACTCTGACTGCTTCCTTTATCTGAGTCTTCACATAAATAATTTTTATCACACTAATTTTCAGTGGCATTCTAATAAATACACATGAGTTTTATCTCCCCAAATATATTATAAGACATTGGAGGCAGGTTTCATATATCCTAATCCTTTGCACTGATTGAAAAGCAGCTCAAATAATGCTAGGAGGATTTCTTGACTTATTCACTTATTCATTCAACAAATATTTATGCAGCATCTATAAAGTGCCTAGTACTCTGCTAAGCCTTAGAATAATATAAAGATAAAAAAGAATAGATATCAATCATGTGGAAAAAAGCAATGAAGTAAGAAATTGAACATATATAAAGTGGGACCATAAGGTTATCAGAATAATTTTAAGCAAGAGTTGTATAAACCATTTTTATGACTTCTAACCAAAACCTCATGTCACGAACTATGAACTAAACTAATTAAATTTTCGTTATGAATGGGAAGAAAAATCATTGAAAAAGACTTCCTTCTGCTTCTGATCACTAAAGGAAAAATTGTTTCTAATCAAGGCATTTTAAGGCTTCCATGAAGTGAGAAAAACAATAATACATAGGAAGTAAAAATATAAGTGGTGCTTCCCTCCAAGTTGAGATTTGAATAGCAAAAAATTATAAGTGAAAACAGCAAAGAAATGGCAATAAATTTGACTGTTAATGAATTTATAAGGAATAGAGTTAGAAAAATTAAAAGAGGGGTTTGGGGGTTACTTAGAAAAAAAATGAGATTCTGTGTGATTTTACACCAAGACAGAGTCTAACCAGAAGGCAAGAAGGACATCAAACAAAAAAAAAAGAAGTTTAATACTTAAAAAAAATCAGAAATAAAATTTATATAAAGATGAGAAAAAGGAATGCAAAGCAAAATCAGATTTGTGAATGCAGCAGCAGACCAGGAGATGATCAGTTAGATGGAAAGTAATGATAAAGAGGAAGAAATGGTAGAGCAGGAGCTTGTTCAGATGTGCAATCTTAAAAGCCCCAATGCCCCAAATTATTTTTCACTAGCACCTCTCATTAGAGTTGCTTTCCTTTAGGCTAGCATACTGCATTCCTTAGTTTTACTTACATTACTAAGGGAATGGTGCCCTATTAAGCTATTGCAAAACAAATAAGTTACCAGGTGATTTTCCTTACCTGAGATCCTATACATCTTATGCAAGATATGAGAGTTTTGATGATGAAAAAATAAGTAATCCCTTTTAACTCTGATTTATTACCCAAGAAAGATTAACTTGAATAGGTAGGTAGCTGCAGAAGACAGGTAAAGAGTAGATGAGCTCAGCAGGAGATGGAGAGACACCAGAAATGAGGGCTGAAGCTGAGGAAAGAAGTGGGGTCAAAGACAAAATGTATCTCCTTTCCATTCAAGAGCAAAGAAGACAAAATAATACAAACAGCAAATATCAGCATATTTGGAAACTTACCTAGCTCCTGTTTTCAAGGCTTCAAATTTCATGACTATCCATCTAATATATCTGAATATAGCCGCTGAATGGCTTCAAGTGGGAGATACTATGTTTTGGATGTTTGATCACTTTGAGCCACCCAAGACCTTCCATGGAAAAAGTATGTACTCTCCTAAGCCCATTGCCATTAGAAAATATACCACTTTGAGTCCTCTAGTTTTGGTCTAGCTATTAATCTTGAGAATTATAATGACACAAATTATAGCCATCATTTATTTAGATTACTTAAGTGATTATGACATGTGACAAACCCAGATTCTGCAGCATTTGATGGAATCGTCATTTAAGTGCCTTGATCTATATGGAATAAGAATTGGACAACCCTTGGAATAGATTCATGGTAATTCTACACTTAAAAATTTTGGAATAAAACAGAGAGATGCTTATCATCCCCAGTTGATAAAATCACTCATCTGGAAGAGATCTAAAAATATGTTCTGACCCAGTTCCCCCTTTTTGTTTGTTTCTCCATCCAGGACATGTCAGTTCTTC